TAGCTTGGCTACTAAGCCAAGGGAATCTACGAAAGCTACAAAGAAAGCTTATAAAAAAATGAAATTCTTGTTGTTAATGTCTTCTTTTAATCCTTGCACTTCTATTTATAGGCTAATGGAGCGGTTATGGCTGACTCCCATAATTGTTGTATGGTTATGGTTATGCTTCTTGGCGCCAACACTTCTTTTAAAATTAAAATCCATTAGCCTCCTAAACCGGCCTCTATGTTATTGGGCCTCTAAGTGATATCATCCCAGTTGCTTTTATGTCTTGACCAATTCGGCCTAATGACCTTTTACTGATTCTAGAAACCTCTTAACTCGGTCAAAGTCAAAAATCTGATTTTGGGGTGTAACAGTACTATTTGCAAGGGTTAAACAACATCCATCATATGTTAAACATTATAGAGTACAAGATTTTTAAAAATTATATGTAGCTTTCCTTTCTAACATTATACGATACTTTATACAATTCCGATCCTATTTATCATTACCTTTTAAATATGCATATGCTAAATTTTTTATATGAGCATAATGTAAAACTAGCTATCAATACATATTAAATATATATAGTTGCAATTATTTTCCTTTATTAACATTGCAATTCTGTTGGAAAATGTATGTAAACTTAACATATGAATAAATAAATGAATTTTTCTTCCCAATTCAATAAAAAATTTTGCAACTACCTACAAAAATCAATAAGTAAATTTATTTAAAAAAAATAAATTAAAAAAAAAAAAAAAAAAAAAATCAAACAAACAAATTTTACAATTTTTTTATAAAAATTCATATATTACATGGCTACTACTTTAATACTTACACTTTAATCTTAAAAAATTTAAAGAATAAGGACTTTTTAAGTGATATTAAAGATGGGTCGATTTGGACTTATTTACATACACAAACCCACGAATTTATAGTTTACACCATACTTTTTAGCCTACAAAAATATGGTTTCGGGTTATTAAAACGAACATTTTTCTCGACATGAGCTGGATCGTCAACTAGAAATTCCAAACTCTCTGTTCTCTCTCCTCCTCCAAAACAAAGCTACTGCCGGAAACCTAGGGTCTCATCAGAGTTCTGGCGCCGTGACCGGTTCTCCAGCGAGTACCCCTGTAATTTTCTTTTATTTTGTGGGCGAATCTTCCCTGATTTAGATTCTCACCCCTTGTCGTGGTCGAGCTCCCCACCTCTTTAAGTCTCTTGGGGTTCCACCGGCGGTGAAGAGGAAGCGGAGCCAAGTCGACCTTACACCGACGATCTCCACCTCCATTAAGCTTCAACCTCGTTTTGCCGGCAAGTATCTTCTTCTTTTGGTCAATTACAGAAGGTTCTTTGGCTTGTTAACCTTGTGGGAAGTGTTCGGTGTTGTTAATTTCTTCAGTTCAAGGTTTGTGGGCTTGTGTTCCCTTATTTTGTTCAGTTTATAGAAGCATATTATTTGCTCTTTATGGCATTAAATATCTAGCTGCTAGTGTTGTACTTTGTTTTCCTATTCTTATTTCAAGTACTATGGGTGTGTTTGAGGAGCTTAGGGGGGATTTGTATTTTGCTCAGTTTGAAGAGGAGGAATTCTCTTCTCATAAGTTAGAGAAAATAGTTGGGGAATTGGAGAATCCTTTTGGTGTTCTGAAACTTGTTAGCAGTTTAAAAGATGAGGGTAACCAATTGTACAAGCAGAGTAATATGGTTTTAGCCATTGCAAAATACTCTTTTGCACTCAAGATCTTGTCCTTTGTTCTGGTTTGTAATGATGATGATAAATTAGTTTTTTTGAGCCTTGCTGTCTCTTAATCTGGACTTGGGGGCATGTTATGTCAAAGAGAGGAACTTTGACAAGGTTGGTCAATTGTGCTCGACGGTGTTGTGTTATGATAACTCAAATGCGAAAGCTTACTTTAGAAGAGCGGTAGCAGCTTTAGAGCTAAACAAACGCGACTTAGCTTTCATGGATCATTTGCAAGCAATTAGGATTGAGCCCAACAACAAAGAGTTTCAACAAAAACCAAGGAGGTGACCTCTAGATTGGGTTGGTCTCAAAATTTTGTTGATGATGCACTTGTGGTTACAACAGAAGATGAGTGGTTTAGAGACTTTGTTCAGTTTGGGAAGGAAGAAGAAAAAAGAAAGTTAGGAAAGAAGGGGAAAAGAAAAGAAAGAGATGGTCATGAAATGGGTGTGTTCGTAGATGTATTGGTGTAAAAGATGACACCAAAGTGGAAAAGAATGTTGTTGGCAAATCTTTGGATTTGGAAGGTAAGGTCAACCCCTCCGATCAAGATGAAAGGCCCAACGTATTAATAACATTCTGTTCTAAAGTTAACTTTAGAAGAAAAAAAAAACCAAATCTTATAGGATCAAGTTATTGGTTTCGAAACGAAGAATTGATTCCTATCTACATCTCACCCCGACAATGTATGGGGCGGTTTCCACGGGACGAACACTACTCTACTATTGTTTTTCCCGGAAGAATTTTATTAGCATTCGAGTACTTGATCCTCCAAAGAAGAAGGATAGTGTTGAAACTCAAGAAGTTTCTACACCAATGGAGATTAGTCACCCCCCTTTTGAAGGGCATGATAGGTGAAAAACTCCAATCTTGACGCAAGAAGATCTGACTATAGGTATAGTCATTCATGCATCATCATGTGAAAGTATGTTGATGCTACTTCTAGATGCACCAGGCCTGTCCCAATTAAAGTCTACTACGAACCCCAAAACGTGCTCCTCTCAGACGTCGAAGATATTTGCCTCCTCTTACCGCTTCAGAGTTAGAAGGAAAATTTTTTGTCAAAAATGTAAAACTCCCTCTAGTATTACTAACTCCTTATTTTGCAGGATGAGTGGCTCTAAAAGAAGAGCATCATGTTCCTCCGAAAACATTTGGTTCCCCAGTAGAAAAAGATTGTGTGGTCCTACCCCTAATGTTTTAGTGTGTAATTTGTTTTATTATTAATATAATGCTTTTTCCGATGTCAAAAAAAAAAAAAAAAAAAAAGTTGGATTGTGCTAGCGAGAGGATCGTGTTAACGAGACAGACTAGTTAAGATCACCTTTAATGGAAATCTAACATACATCTTATCAATAAGCTCAAATTTATGAGTTTTTACGTTTAGAACAGTACTTCATATATATATTCCACAATACCTTAATTTCTTTTATTTTTGGCAATGTCTAATTCTGTAATAATTTTACAATAGTTGTTATAGCTTTGTACCAACTTGTGTTTACATACTATCATCAACTATGTGACTAATTAAATTTGACCAAGTTATTTGATTTCCTTAAATAAATTACTTTTTTTTTTTTATAAAGAGTGGTTGAACTATAAGATCTTTATAATTCTTAATTTGTCTAATAATATATAGGGACTTAATATATTATATATATTAAAGAAAAAATTTAAGTAGATTGAGCATGAATATTGGAGTATTGTTCAATGCATAAGTTTGTCATATCCTTTAACAATATTATAACATTTTTGAAATATATGTAATGTGATAATGAGTTGTCTATATCATAACAAAAAAAATTTAGAACAGAATGTAAAAATTTAGAAATATATGTAATGTGATAAATCTCTATAATCTTTATGAAATTGACTCATCTTTCTCCTCTTTCCTGGATCTTGTGGAAGATTAGCAAATTCATGTTCACTTAATCTTTCACCAAAGATTGGGGCATTAGGAGAACATTGGCCTTGTTCATTTTGAGGGGAATTTTGAGTTGAATAATGAGATGGAGATGAATGTTGTTCACTTTCTTGAGGTGGAGATATAATTTGTTCATTTTGTGTTGGATGTAGAAGAGAAGTTGGAGTAGGATTCTTTTTAGCAAAGAAGCTAGCAATGTTTTGCATTTCGTTTGGAGTGCGTTTTCTCTTCATTTTGAAAATTGAATAAATAATCGTCCGAATCGCCAATGAAATCAGCACATATGCAAAACCCCATATAAATCTACCAAAGTCAATGGTGTATTGACAATTTGACAGACATAATTGACATCAATAAACACCCTAAATAAACACTGACCACAATTCACATAATCACATGGTAAAAAAAGGTTCAAATTTCATCAAAAACCCAACAACATTAACAAAAGGTTCAAAGTTTACCAAACAAACAACAACAAAATCAACCAAAGTTTCAAACTTTTACCAAAAAACTAACAGAATCAACGAAATAGAGAGAAGAATGAGATACCCAATCACTGTGTGGAGGCAGTGGAGCCGCCTGTGTGCAGCAGCAGCAGCAGTGAGCGAAGATGAAGAAGAAGCGAAGAGCAGTGAGCAGTGAGAAGAATGAGCAGCACTGGAGGTCTGGTCGTCTGGTCTGCTGGTCGTCTGGAGGTCTCACAGAGTCGGCTGCCGGCGGGAATGCGGGATTTGGGTGAAGATGAAGAAGCGAAGAGCAAGGGCAGGCGCTAGGGCTTGAGGAGTTGAGGAAGTGGGGATTCACCAGGTTGAATTTAGAAAATAATTTTTTTTTTAAATAAAAACTTAGAATTTTTTTTTGGGCCCTGGTGAGTCATTTTGACTCACCAGGCACAAGGCCCAGTCCGCCACTGACTATGTGACTAATTAAATTTGACTAAGTTATTTGATTTCCTTAAATATATTACTTTTTTTTTTTTTTTTTTTTTATAAAGTGTGGTTGAACTATAAGATCTTTATAATTCTTAGTTTGTCTAATAATATATAGGGACTTAATATATTATATAATATTAAAGAAAAAATTTAAGTAGATTAGCATGAATATTGGAGTATTGATCAATGCATAAGTTTGTCATATACTTTAACAATATTATAACATTTTTGAAATATATGTAATGTGATAATGAGTTGTTTATATCATAACAAAAAAAATGCAAGAAATCAAAAGTGTAGAAGTGGAAAATAAGTTAATTTTGAAGGGTTTTCCTAGATAAATTCCTGAAACGAAGGCCTTCCACCAAAGATACACAAAAAAAAAACAAGCATTTGAATAGAAAAAAAAAAAAAAAAAAAAAAAAAAAAAAAAAAAAAGCATGCAAACCAAACCTCTCTCTCTCTCCAACTATCTTCAATGTCAACAACACCTAAAATTATCATACTTTTCAAAATTTATCTACACATTGGGCCGCCGGAATTATACAAGATGGGAGAAAAGGGATTCCCAATACTCTCATCAATTTTAAGCATTATTGTTGTTACAAATTCAATTTTATAACCATTTTTATTTATCTTTAATAAACATCAAAAAATTGGTAAAAGATTGATAAATTGTGAGGGAAAAAAAAAAGAGAGAGAGAGAATATGGATGTTACACGAAAAGTATTATGTGGGAATGACTTATTTAACCCAGTAATAGCGATGGGTCTGCAGGCATCTCTACTTCTTTCTGTTTCTCACCTTCTACAAATTGGTGTTAAGTCTATTGGCATTCCAACGCCTATTCCTCAAATTACTGTACGTCCATTCTATTTTCCCCTATTCTTTTTATATTTAACAAAGTAGTCATTTTACATTTGTGCAATTTTAAAAACGTAGTTCCTCAATAGTCAATAGGTTGTCATTAGGAAAGATAATGTTGTGTTTATCTCAATGCATACTTCTATCAAAGGCTTATTAATATTTTCTAATGTCTTTTTTAAATTTTAATGGCAAAGTTTGCATTGATAAATGTGCTAGCCAAATTGATGCAATTTAAAGGAATTGAAGGAAGTATATTTATAATCACATTAATATATGACATTTAATATAGTATTGATACATTAAGGAATTAGCCAAAAATCACTTGAATATTGGATTTGGGTGGTATGTTCTATATATGCAATGTTGAAATGTCATGACATCAATTATATATTTCGTAATTTTCAATTGGAAGATTAAGGAGAAAATTCAAAGCAGCTGTTATTTTTGTCAAGAACAACTTTGACCACTAATAGCCATATTAGAAAGTAGCGTAACTTTTATGTGTGTGAAGTATTAAAAATTAATACATTGAATATATATATTTTATTAGTTTCATACAAAAAAAAAAAAAAAAAACCAAATACTATATTAGTAAAAAGATGTGGTCCAAGTTTGTACGTGGGTTGAATTGTTGCAATTTTAAGAAGTTTAGAGGGTTAGGCCAATGTCATGATATGAAGGGTTGTTTGGCATAAGCTAGTAGGCTAGTTAGAGTATTTAGCAAATTCACAGACATTTAGTTGATTTAATATTTCGATTCATCAATCTTTTGTGTTAAATGTTTAGAAATGAGGATGTTCAATTAAAGTATTAATCCCAATAAGCTAAATTCATATACTTCCTTAGTATTTTAAATATTTGCATTACTTTAATCATTATATTTTCCGAGACATAATTTTGACCATTAATATCTTCAATTGTTTATTAGTAAATTAATATTGTAAAAAAACAAAAATTAAATAGTGAAAGTGACACCGTAATTAATCCTATGATACATTACATAACGACAAGTATTCATTTTATAATAGTAAAAAATGAAAATTTTGACTTTTGGTACCACTAAAATACCCAACTTTAATTTTTGCACATATCTAAAATTTTATTTTATTTTACAACCAGCAAAAACACAAAAATATAGCTTTCGCTACCCCTTAACGTTTTCCGTTAGTGGTCAGCTATTAAGTTTTTTTTTTCTCGTTTTGCATATTGAATAATGTTCCCTTAAGGTTTTGGGGGTCAATTTGGTTCTTATGAGTTTAAATTGAGCTTGAAATCGGAAAGAAAAACATAAATGTCTTGTTTTGCGTGTCAAGAAATATATCGATTTGCTTGTCACCATTCTTTTTGCCACGAAAATTGTTCGAGTAAAGTTTTGGGGGTCGGTTTGTTTCTAAAGGATCCAAATTGAGCTCAAAATTGACCAAAAAAATATAAATTCCTCGTTTTGCGTATCCAAATTGACATTATTGGACTCACAAAACCAGGCATTTTACGTTATTATGTCTAGTTTGAGCTCAATTTGGATCCTAAAGGTCTAAACCTATCTCCAAAACCATACACGAACAATTTTCATGGCAAAAAAAATATTAACATGCAAGTCGATACATTTCTTAACTTTTTTTTTTTTAATCAATTTCGAACTCAAATTGGATTCTTAAGGGTTAAAATGACTCCTAAAACTAACATAACATTTTTCAACACGCAAATCGAAAAAAAACAAAATTAATAGTTGAAAGCGGGCCCCACTAATGGTTTCTTTAACAGAAACTATTAGTGGGTAGTAAAATCTATATTTTTGGATTGTTGGTGGTTGGAAAATAAAAAAATAATATTAGATATAGGTAGCAAAAATCAAACTTGGATATTTTAGTAGTATCAAAAGTCACTTTTCTAAAAAAATTAATTAAAAAGTGTATGTAAATAGTGTATAAGTCAAAGTGATGCAAATATAAAAAAAAAAAAAAAAAAAAAAAAAAAAAGGATTACTATGTTACCATATTTTAACTTATAGAGGAAGTATATGGTACAACTAGAACAACAAAAAAGCCTTTAAAAAAACTTAGAGAGGCTTTTTTGTTGTTTTAGTTGATTGTACCATATACTTCTTCTATCCCTTTATGTATGCCCCAAATTTTTCCTATACAAAAAACTACCATAATAATCCAATATATTATAACATTCGTTATATTTGGCCTCATTACTATCCACTCTCATCAATTCTACTCAACTAAATTTTAAATAAGGTATTATATCTAATTAGGAAAAAAAAAAGATTAAAGAAAACTTTGTAATAGATTTTGTTGTTGGATGTTGCTATATAAAAATAACAGATGTTTTTAGAAGTAACTATTGATTTTAAAAATGATTAATGCTAAATTTCTTAAACAGGCTGGGTTGTTGGTTAATCAATCACTTTTGGCTAAGATAAAGCCGTTTGAAAAATACCTCCTCCGCTCGAACTCAGTTGACTACTATAATGTGCTGGCGTTTTTTGGTAGAACGTGTGTTGTATTTTTGATTGGTCTTGAGCTAGATATATCTTATATGAAGCGTCACCTACGTGCTGCGAGTATTGTTACATTTGCAGCTGCATTACCATGTATTCTCATTGCTGGAGCTATCTCATACTTGATGTTTCAGTATTTTATGAAGAAACATGAAAGTTTTCCATCGTTTATGTTTCTTTTCATGTTGGCAGTAGCTAACTCAGCCTCTCCTCTTGTTATCCGCTTTATAGCCGAATTAAAGCTAGGAACTTCTGACTTTGGACGTTTATCTGTATGTGCTTCATTGGTTAATGATATCACATGTATATTATGTGGGGGTCTAGTTATGAAGACTGTTGAAGACGGTCGTGGATTTAAGTGGGGAGAATGGATTTGGTCTTTGCTTTTCACAGCCATTGTTAGCTTCGTAGTGAGACATATAGCCATTCTGCTTAACAAGCTAAGTCCTGATAGTCAGTATCTAAAAAATACCCAAATTGCTCCTTTGTTTCTTTTAGTCCTTCTTAGTTCAAGTGTTGTAGATAGATGGGGATCTGCTAATAGCTTGTTAGCTGCATTAGTTCTTGGAATGACTTTCCCTCGCAAAGGAAAAACTGCTCGAACAATGAGCCACAAGCTATCTTATACTGTGTATACCTTTGTGCTCCCTATTTACTTTGGCTACACTGGTTTTCAAGCTAACTTAGAAGATGCTGCTATCCCTAAGAATTTGATAGGCATTGTGGTGGTTTTATTGTTAAGCATTGGTGGCAAGATTTCGGGCACTCTTATTGCTTGTCATCGGTTGAAGATTCCATTGAAAGAAGGGATTGTTCTTGGTTTGTTACTTAATCTTAAAGGTCACTTTGACGTCATTATCTTAGGCGCTATCAAATTGAAATCGGTAAGCATACCAGTTCTTAAAACAGATTACACTTATACTCGTAATGAACATGTATCCTCACACTACAAATTACAAAAATATCGGTCTGGCAAAATTGTTAAAAGTTTTTTAAATTCATTATACATAGATTTCTAAAATTTTACACCTAATTGATCTTCACTTTGAAATGCTGCAGGATTGGAATAATAGCTTCGTTGAGGTAATGATAATAACAATAGTCTTGAATACGCTGATTTCAGGAATCGCCATTACTTTTATTGTTTTGAAGGATAGCCATACCTTCACTTATAGGGCAGGACCCCTTGAGCAACAAAATCCAGAAACAGAGCTACGGGTGCTGGCATGTGTTCATGGTCCTCGTAATGTTTCAACTATGGTCAAAGTTATCAGATGGTTAAATTGGTTCAAAGATTTACCGTTATGTGCTTACCTTATGCACTTGGTTGAGCTTCTTCCAAAGAAGAGAACAAGTAAGATGTATCACCAGTTAGAGGATGATGAACTAAGTGATGATGATACCTATGGTGGAAATGATGCAGTGGAGATCAATGATGGTGTAGATGACTTCATACATGAGACAGGAATATTTATTCGCCAATTGAAGGTTGTCTCATCCATATCAAAAATGTTTGAGGATGTGTGTGACGTAGCTGAAGATTTGCGAGCATCAATTCTAATCCTCCCTTTTCATAAGCATCAGAGAATAGATGGAAAAATGGAAAGTGGTAAGGAGGGTATACGAACAACTAATCAAAGAGTGCTCCGTCATGCCCCTTGCACGGTTGCCATCCTTGTTGACCGTGGACTTATGGGGTCGTCACAATCAGCTAATTTAAACTCAGAGCCACATGTTGCAGCATTGTTTTTTGGTGGACCTGATGATCGTGAAGCATTGTCTCTTAGTACATACATTGCAATGCATCTCGGCATGAACCTTACTGTCATTAGGTTTCTCCAAACATCTTCAAATGATAATACTCCAGAGAGGATCAATATTGCATCACATGATAATGAGCAAATATTAATGGCAATGCCAAGTCGTGGGGATCAAGATGAGGCAGACGATGCCTTTCTAGAGAATTTCTACAACAGGTATCACGTGCAGAAGCTTTATGATTTTTTTTCATATTATTCATCATGGTATGACCTTCATTATAGACAGACAACATAATTTGTTTGTTAATTGGTAATAACAAGTTTGTCAAACTTGAAACATTGTATTCAATTCTATTGTGATGGATTTAGGTGAAGAGATTAGACATTAGAGCCTTAGAGTAATGAAGCCAAGCATGTCCTCCTTGGTTGGATATTCAATTACTTGTAGCTTAGAAGATAGCCTCCATTTTTTTCACCTTTCTCTTCTTCAATTTTAATTAAGAGGTTTATTAGATTACCATTTAAAAATTGACCTTGTTCAAGATTGGTATAAATATATTAAAGCTCCATGTTTTTTTGCAAGATGTGTATACGTAATTTGACTTTATATTTATCTATGGTTTTAGATTTATGGTGTATATTATTAGGACATCCTTCAAAGCATGTGCGCACTAATCTTTTATGACTTTGTTGTGGTAAATTTAAAGCATAATGGTGATTGACTGTGTATTTATTTTGGCATGATTGGTTATTAGGTATGTAACTTCCGGTCAAGTGGCATACATAGAGAAGCGTGTGAAGAATGGAGACCAAACAGCGACTGCCTTGAGAGACATTATAGATATGTACCAGTTGTTTGTAGTTGGGAATGGGGGACGCCGGAATTCACCCATAACTACCGGGATGAGTGATTGGGAAGAATGCCCAGAACTTGGCAATGTGGGTGATCTCTTAGCTTCATCAGAATTTGACCCGAATTGCTCAATATTGATTATCCAACAATATAAGCCTCCATTAGACTGACTGACAACTTGTGTATGTCTTATGACGAAGATTTGTTACTTCTTATGTCCAAGTAAAGACTCCAAGTCACTGAGGCGTACATTCGTACATATCTTGACTCACCACTGCAGGTATTATAGTCTATCGACCTTTAGACATTAGGTAGATATCAGATAGGTCAATGTAGTTTAGTTAGGATCCAGTTAGAGCTGCTAATTTCTATTTTCTGCCTTAATTAGATCTTAGATCTATGCTAGATCCTGGTACTACATTATTACTAGCTTGGAACTTTCAATACCTTGTAGAACTTTGTGTAAGAAATCATTTCATTATTGGTGGCCTGGAATTGCAAGTATTATGAGTATTTTTATTTTTTTTTTCATGAATCAAATTTTGTGTAAAGTTTTAAATTGGTTGTCATATAATTCTCAATACCAAATTACCAATCGTTCAATCTTTTACTTTCTACGATCTATTGTGCATGAGGTAGCATTGTACTTGGTGATAAAAAATTAATTAAAAGATTAATTAATTCTCAATTAATAATATTGCTTTTGTCCATAAATGTTTGTTATGTTTTAAGGTAAAACTTTAATTTACAAATTTATTTTAACCACCACCTTCAATCTGAAAATTCTTTACACTCACTATTTGAACAAACTCTAATGGAATCTTTAATCGTTATTAGATCCCATTTTGTATAATAAAACAAAAGATCGATGGTATTTGAAAAAAAAAAAAAATCAAAACAAATCTAACAAGACCCCAAATGTCTATGGTTTGAAATATATAATAGTGAGGATTTAGGGTTAATGGTTACTATCTTAGAGCACTCCCAGCAGTGAGTGAAAAAACCCTCACGAGAGAAACTTGAGGTGTAAAAAAAAAATTCCATACGCTACAACAATGAGGGGAATTCCTCTCATGGTTGAGGAGAATGAAAAACGCTCAAAACTTGAGGGGATTTGAGAATGAACAGTGACTGAGTGGGGCCCACGAGCTGCTGACGCCACCTGCTTCAATTTGTTGAGAAATGAGCCAAAACGACGTGTTTTGTGCTTCCTGCATCAAAAATGACGTCGTTTGGTTGCTGTGCCAGCAAAAAAATTTAAATTGCATGGGTACTGGCGCGCGTCAGAGCAACGAATGAGGAGGTGACACACGTCAGTCCCATGTAATTGAGCCAATCAGATTTTTTCTCTTTTTCCCAACGGTTATATTCAATAAAACGGTAATATTGCCGTTAAAAATATTAAAAAAAAAAAAAAAAATTCACCAACGGCCATAAAATTTTTTTCTCTATAAATAGACATGCATTTTGATATATTTTGATATACTTTCAAAAACACCAAAAATCTCCTATATTCACTAATTTCCTAATCCTCACTTCTTATTATTATAATTATTAATTACGGTTTTCAGAAAAAAAAAAATATTATTATTATAATTATAATTATAATTATTATTATTATTATTATTATTATTATTATTATTATTAGTGTTATTATTATTATTATTATTGTTATTATTGTTATTACCAATATTATTATTATAATTATCATTAATATTATCGCTGTTGTAGCTGTTTTTATTTTTTGAAAATATAATTTAGTTATTGTTCTTTTAGTAATTGTTGATTTTTTTACTAATTATTATTTAAAGCTTTATTTATTTTTTCCAAAAATAAAAAGCTTTATTACTTTTCTACTTTATCAACTTATGGATCCTAACAACCCTAATTTTTCTAATCATTTCTCTGATTTGGGTGATGATTTTGTCACTAATCCTCGATTTCAGCTTTTCCTACAAAGGCTTGGAAACACTTCTTTGCAAAATTCAACATAACAAACACCTCATTAAACTCCTTTCCAAAACACTACCTATGAACCACATTCACCTCTTGTTTATCAAGGGACCGATTCTCAATTAGATGATGAAATGGAAGAAAATGTTCCAGACACTCCTCAATACTCTCCACCTCCTTCAAGAGTGTCTGTGAATCAAAACCAACCACTGACAAAAGGAAGTCGAATGTGGTCTGTTGCGGAGGATGAAGCTCTAATTGGTTTGTATCTTCAATTCAGTGAGGATGCAATTGTTGGTACAAGCCAAAAAGCAACTACGCTATGGCGAAAAATATCTGCAGCATATGATCAAGCGCAGGCTGAGAGACCCCACATCCTACCGCCAGACCTTTGAGGAGTTTGGAAAGCCGTTGGAGAAGGATGGCAACTGATTTAATACAATGGAGTAGTTGCTATGACGAAGCTGGTAGGGCAACTGGAAGTGGTTACAACGAAGCAGACCGAATTAATAATGCAAGTAAGTTATTCTATATTTCCTCCAAGCCTACTCCACATAATTTTAATTGTCACCATGGTTGGGAAATGGTTAAAAATGACCCGAAGTGGAGGACAAAACTGAGATGGGCGTTGTCAAGAGAAGAAAGATTAGCTTGCGGTGATGCTGTCGAGGATGACAGTAGTGGAAGTGAAAAGCGGTGTAGAACTAATGATGAAGATGTTGTTCACGTTACCGGTTTCACTTCTGGGGGTCTTGCTCGACCTGATGGCGTTAAAAAGGCAAAGTCCAGGCGTAATAAGGGAAAAGGAGTGGCTGTTGAAGTCTCAAACATTACCGAGCAAATGCAGCAGAATAATGCTACGAGGGAAATAGAGGCACAAATGCGGTTGAAGAAGATGGATTTCGACATGGAAAGGGAAAGAAGGAAGCAAAAACAAGTAGAGCTTCACCAAAAACAAGGGACCGGACCTAACTCCTGATGAAGAGGCTTACAAGGAAGAATTACGTGCACTACTCTATGGTAGAAGGAACATGTAATTTAGATCAGCTTAATGTGTTTGCTACTGTTTTTATTTAATTAATGTTTAATGTAGTCCTTTTTATTTTAATTAATGTTAAGATGTACTCCTTTTTATTTACATTTATGTGAAATGAATTATGTTTTTTATAACATTAATTATGCAGTAAATTATTTACTTTATGAAATTTGTTTTTAATAATAATCACATGTAATGGTTAATGACAAATAAACATCTCCCAATAAAATCTTCACAACTTTATGTTGAAGAGTCATATCAACTTAACACAAGTAATGATAATGCTATAGATTATTGAAGAGTCAAATCAACTGTTCAAGTGTCCTACATCAGATGCATCAATAATTCAATTGCAATTCAGAGTGCAATGACACATCAATTTCATTGCAGAGATTGCATTGAAGTGTCATATGGACTATATATACATGCATGACACATCAATTCAGAGTTACTCACATGCAAAATCAGAGCAACTCACAAGCATTGATAGTCACTTGGACTATATATACATGCAAGTGTTATTCAAAACAGAAAGAATCCCAAACAAACCAACTATCAAACCATAACCAAAACATGTCTTTCATTTCCTCCACCTCAAGCTCTAGTTCTTCTGATTTCTCAAATAACGTTGAATTTGATCGGTTAGTTGATGATTATGCTGCTAACCACCTACCTCATATTTTAATTCCCCAACACTCATCACAAGAATCCCAGCTTAATAATGATATAGCAAATGTCCCGGAGCCTAAAAGGGATAGGGAAAGAGAAAAAAGGCATGTACAACTATATAACAATTATTTTGCGAGTAATGCAGTGTATAACGACAACCAATTCCGCCGTAGATCTCGTATGCGAAGATCTTTGTTCTGTCGCATTATGATAAAGGTGGTTGAAGGGGATCAATTCTTCCAACAACGTCCGAATGTAGCTGGAAAGCTTGGTTTATCACCGTTGCAGAAATGCACCGCTGCAATAAGAATGTTAGCGTATGGCGTAGCCCCCGATGTCGTGGATGAATATCTACGTATCGGCCAAACAACCTCAAGGAATGCATTGCAACATTTTTGTCAGGGGGTTATTTCACAATTTGAAAGTGAAAATCTACGTAAACCTACAGATGAAGATTTAAGGAGAATCCTTCATCAAAATGAATTGCGTGGGTTTCCAGGCATGATTGGTAGTATAGACTGCATGCATTGGGAGTGGAAGAATTGTCCTACGGCTTGGAAAGCTCAATATGCTGGTCGTAGCAAGACTGCAACCCTCATTCTTGAAGTTGTTGCTGATCAGGATTTATGTATTTGGCATGCGTTCTTTGGAATTCCTGGCTCATGTAATGATCTTAATGTCCTTTACCATTCACCGGTGTTTGATGATGTTTTACAAGGTCGTGCACCACCAATAAATTTTTGGGTAAACGGACATCAATATGAGTTGGCCTACTACTTGGCAGATGGGATTTATCCGAAATGGCCAACTTTTATACAAGGTATTACACATCCTCAAGTTCAAAAAGACAAGTTGTTTGCTGATCAACAAGCAGCAGTTTGGAAAGACGTTGAACGGGCTTTCGGAGTTTTACAAGCTAGGTTTGCTATACTACGACAACCTGCACTGGCCTTCGACGAAGATATTCTTTGTGACATTATGAAAGCCTGTATAATAATGCACAACATGATCATCGAGGATGAAAGACACAACTACACACGGGCAGATGTTCTGAGACGATACTACGAAGAAGATCGACCACAACGTACAACAGCGCGGGCGGGACCGAGCACAAGTGCCACGGTGAATAACAACGAGCCATTTGAGTTCAACGTCGGGCGGCCGCCCAACATAGATTTCAACGCGTATTTTCAGAGGAGGATTGCCCTTCGTGATAGAGAAATTCATTCGTCTCTCAAACAAGATTTAGTAGAACACATATGGCAGAACTTTCGTCATAATACGGCCGAATAAGCAAAGTTGTAGAATGTAATCGTATCGTGTTGAAGTTTTAATACTCGTCCTCGTGTATTATATTAGCTCAAACCGCTAACATTAAGTTTGTAAACGTACTGTTATTTAATATCCGATGTATTTGTATTGTCGTTTATGTGTTTATTTCAAAAATGTGCTTCTTATTATGTAATCGTTTAAGTTTAAGAAAACATCTTTCGTAGAATCTATATTTGCTGT